CAGTTTTGCCGACACATCACCTTCCTGGAGGTGTGAAGAGTCCTTGCAATTTTGCATTTCTTGATAATATTTTGCCATCTTGAACTGAAAACTGAAAGCTTACTTTGGTTTGGCGTGATCCCAAAATTAGTTTAAAAGGGGGGGGAAGGTACATTTCATCCACATTAGCAACGGCTATCTGATGCTGTAAAATAGCTGCGTTGACAGAGCAGTCTGTTGCCACAAACCCATCTGTTTGCAGAAGGATATAATGTGACTTCCTTAGAAAGTGAAAACACAATTCTCAGACTTGCCGCTGCTTCCTGCCTTCCACTAAAAGAGCTGCAATCTCTTTATGAGCAGATGTTACTAAATAATCCCCTCAGAACTTTTTATGACTTCTTTCCAGGTAACTCATTCTTCTCTCCTCCTGTTTGGGAAAAACATGCTCCTGTACACCATACAGTTGCAACAAGTTCAAGAATCGTGACAAATAATTTTAGTAGTATTAACCTTTCTGCTTTCGGTGCCTTAAGTTACCAATGACTGTCAATGGCTGTATTGCCAACTAATACGTGTAAAATAACAGTAATAGCAAAAATATGGCTCGGGGTATGAATTCTAGCCCTTTCTGCTTGGCTAGAATGATGGAGACTGTTATAGATCAGCCTCGTGTGGGTCATAAAGACGTAGAAATTAAGAGCCATCAGGGATTCAGTAGAGTAATTACCCCACTTTATTATGGGGGTTCATCTTCTGAACCATCAAGCACTGAATACTGTCAGTCCTGGCTGATAAGACTTGATGGCCCACTGGACTGATCTGTAACAGCAAGCCTTAGGCCCCTTCTCCCTGGGTTAAAATAAAAACCCTTACAGGTAGGTTTTCAGGCCCCGCAAATTTCCGTAACAGAGCAGGCGGTGTTCAGAGCTAGTCCCTATGGGGATTGTTAAACATGTTCCATGACAAGTTTACCTAACTTCTGTAGCAAAGTATTACTAGGCAAATACTAACAGCAGGAAACATAACAAACATTACTTGAAAGGGTTTAAATCAGCAGGGTTTTTTGTTTTTAACCACACAGTAATAAATGCAACTTATCATGAAGGAAAAACTAGCAGTAGTTAATATGTACCTGCTCACAGATATTTGCTGTTTAATCCCATAAAAGGACAGTATGCTTCTGTTTAGGGTCGTAAAAAAGAGAAGTTCCTTCCTCCTGATGTTTTCCTCAGGAAGTGCCCTTTGCCTTTCATGTTAAATTATAATATTTTTGTTGCATGCTGAAGCTCTGTGCT